AAAATACTTTTTTTTTTCTCAAATTTATTTTTAACTTTATATTTACATAATAAAATATTTTGCATTTAAACCTAAATTTTTTTCTATTTTTTAACCACACAATTTGCAAAAATTCACTATTTCAAAACTTATTTTTCCCATAAAAAAACTCATTTTAATAGATATCAAACAGGGGCTAAGAATGGACTCTCACTCGACTATTATTAAAAAGGGCAGATCTCTCTATATATTTTCAACTAGGACAATTAAAACAGTGAAACAATTAAGGTCCTGTTTGAACCCATTAATTAGAAGAAATGTATTGTGAAATCATTATTGATGAAGAATGTGTGGTTAAAAAAGAAGTAAAAAATTTTCATTTGCATGTAATATTATTTTAATGAAGATTGAAAAATATGTGGTTAAAAATAAGTACTGTAAAAAAATTTTAAAAAAAATGTAAAGTAAATGATGACAAACAGGGGTTGAAGTGATCTATCTATTTATTTTCTTGCCTTTTAAATATTTTGTTTCTCTATTTCAATAATTTTAATTGTTTTAGTTAAAAACATAGAGAAGGATCATTTTTCCCTCTTGATAATAGGCAAATGAAAGTCCATTCTTAACCTTTTTGGCAACATTTGGGATCGAAGTACCCCAAAAATAATTTGGGTCCCCCAGTACTTTTTGAAAAGGTTTGGGACCCCAAATGCAATCCTTATTTAATTATTAAAGAGCAGTAAATTTGTCACTTTACGCGACTTTAATGGTCACAATTGATGAAAACCGTGCAAAGGGACCAACTCTGCCTATTTTCCAAAAAGCTGGGGCCATAAGTTAGGGTTTTTTTTTTTTTTTTTGGATGAAATATGCAATTTTTTCGAAAAATAATATAACCTTTGAAAAATCTGAAAGTAAATAATACTCCAACTTTTTTAAAGTTGACACTTTTCAATAAAGTAATAATCCAATGCAAAATGATAAGAAAAAATTCAATTATTTTCAATAATAATTTATCCTTTTTCTTGCAAGAATAGAATGGTAATTTAAATTACTGGAAGATAAAGATGCCCAGAGGGGAAAGTTATTAGGAACAGAAAAATATGAGAAGATCAACATTGATTTATTAACACTTAAATTCACTGCGTACATAAATTTCAGGATTGTCCTAACCAATAAAAGTAAAAACTGGGAAATTTTTTATTTTCTTGAAAAGGCACCCCAAACTGGGGTAGGGTAGGGGTAGGGGTAGGGGTAGGGGGTTAGGGGTGGAGTGGGGTGGAGTGTAGTAGGGTGGCGTGGGGTAAATAATTCAGATGGTACTATACTGCACTATTTTTCGATTTATGATGTAACCTTAATTTAATTTTTTTGCTGGTTGGAAAAGGATTGAAGTGTGGAAAAAAAGGGAGAAAGGAAGGGTCTCTCTCAAGTTTTCCTTTTCATGTGGAAAACCAAACAAAGATGGTATGATGAATCAATAGTAATTCCACTCTGTGTCCTGTGTGTTGTGTGGCAGCTGCAACACCTCAATTAATTCGGCAATACCATACGTTGGTTCTGCGTTAATTTGAGACGTTCAATTGAACATGATTAAATGGACGAATTAATTAACTTTATTTGATTTTTTTCTCATATTTAATTTAATCTCATTGAATCTATCAATAATTTTAATATTTATCAAGTCTACTAAAAGACGAGATGTTCGAATGAATGGTAACGCTTCTACTTTCATGACAACTTACGCGAATGTCAGATAAGAGAAGTAACATAAACATTTTTAGACGCATCATTTTAACATATTTCGAGGCGATGAAGGAGTGTCCATCGCCTCGCCGACCATTACTTCGCGAAGAATTGAAGACACAGCCCAATGCTTTGCCGACCAATGCATCAGATGTGATTTAAGTAATCAACATTTTGATATTTCTTTCTACGATATAAACCTGACTCCAATATTTCTTGACTTTAAATGTTACTTTCGAACCCAATATATGTCTCATTCTCCTTTTGGACTAACTTGAATGTTGAAAAGCATATGATCGTGGCGTCCTGTTCATTTGTATTTGAAGAGGTTTCGATCTAGTGCGTCTCATGTTTTTCAAGTGCGTACGTAAAAAGCTTTGAAATGAATAGAGGCGACGTCCATTGACGCACTGAATCTCAACCAAATTTCGAGATCAACAATTAAGCATCCACATATAAGAACAAGACAGGCAATAATGTAAAATAAAATCTAAGAAAAATCACTGGCAATAATATTAATTTAATCTAAGAAAAATCTGCAGAAAAGAACTAATAAGCATGCATTGGTCAATTAATTTACTTTTAAGACCAAACTTGTAGATAGCACAATTCCATTTTGGGCCCAAAATTGTTGAACAAACTAAGAACAAGGCAGATTTACTTTTAAAAGTCTTAAATTGGTGTCCCATTATAAAAACAGCATTATTTTTATTAAGATTTTTAGACTAACTTGTCTTTTTTACGTCATTTTCATCGATCTCGTAATTTCATCGTTCTCACTTCTTTATCTTCAACAAATTTAGCTCTTCCTTTCTCCTTATAACCCTACCCTTGCATTCTAGCTCTCGTCTCATTCATTGAAACATGGTAGCTCAAAATTGGTTTGACAAGAGATACACAGAGAAAAATATAAAGTTGTTTTAATCAGATTAGTCAATTTAGATCAAGTCGAGCTTCAATTATATCGAATTGTAATTGATTTAACAATTGAAAAAAGAATGTAATCTTTAACAATAGGACTATATTAGACCATATACATGAAAATAAGTCATTTTAATCTATTTTTCTTTAAAAGCAATAAAGGTCATTTAGAAAAGGAAAAAAAAATGTTATTAAAATTGAAGAGGATTCCCCAAATCCACACTCTTGTATCATTGCCAGAGGGCTTAAGAAAAGAGAAGAATTCTTTCTTCTTGTGACAAGATTATATATAATAAATTATGCAATAAGATATTTTTGTATAATATTTTATTGAATAAATTATTGTTTGGATGATTATAAAAGAGGATATGGGTTGGGTTTGTGTGGTTTATTTAATTTTATTACATCTGATGATTATCTGTTACAATCAATTAGCATTATTCTAAGAAAGAAAGTGGGTCCAGGTGGAACTGCCCTGCCCGATTAATTAATATACAATTTTTGGTTTACAAAATTACATGATTAAGGCACCTACAAACTTTTCAACTTTTGGATTTTTAATAGCTGAATTATCAAATTTGTCCTCTCATCAACTTTCATCACACTTGAAGCTGTTGTTAATTTTTCATCGTCAAATTATTTATATCGTACTTCCCGTGTCATTCTATATGAAGACCTTACCGTAAACAAAAGATGAAGATTCTTCTATGCATAATACACTATACGACGATTTTTCAAGAAAATGAGCTTCTTCTTTTTTTTTCTCTTTTTGCAAAAAGTTTGCTTCTCGCAATTACTATTTGTGTTTAGCGACTGTAACGAATTAAAACCCACCAAATGAAATTTTAAGCAAACATTAGGATCTCGAATTTGAAAGGCTATAAGGTAAAAAAAGAAACATTTCACTGAGGTAGACAACATAAAATTGTTACAAAGTTAGAGGTGTTGGTCACACATTGCTTCAATATAAACCTATGATCAAGTGCAGTTTTGTCTTTTAACAATTTTGTTCTCCAAAATAGCAAAATTGTGTGTGCCCCCAGAATAAATAATAATAAGAATAAGAAAAGCAAGAAAATGGGTGGTCGGGGTGGGATGGGGTTGGGGTGGTGGGGTGAGGTGAGGTGGGTGGGGATGAGCTGTCCCTAGTGCATTATATGCCTTTATCTGATGCTTTCCTGGCCAGTCTGTATGTCTGTCACCCTCAATAATCTCTCTCTCTCTCTCTCTCTCTCTCTCTAATGGAAATTATGTTTTAGAGGATATATTTTGGTTGAATAATGCAATCTAATACCAATTTTATTGAAAGGTATCAATATACTTGAATCCTATTTTTATTTTTTATGAGTAAAATATATTTTAAAATGGTAGATTGATGAAGAACGTATGATTAAAATAAAATGAAAAAATTGAATTTACGTGTATTATTATTTTATTGAAAAATATGTGATTAAAAAAAAGAAAGAAAAATATATTTTAAAAATAATGAGGATCAAGCAAGGACATATATCCTCTTAAATAACCCATAATTTCTTTTATTTAATTAAACTTTTAGTTTAATATTATTAGTGCTGTCATCTAAACTAATATTAATGTTAATGGTGTCATCATTTAAGTTTCATTTCATAGTATTTTTAAAAAGTTAAAAGTTGCCTTTGAGATAAAAAAGCATTCTTGAATAGTGTTTTGATTTCATTTCAACTAACATTTTTTCAATAAAATAATATAACATACAAATTCAAAAATTTTCTTTTTTTTAATTATTCAATTTCCCATCAATATATTATTCAAAAATACATTTTTCCCCCATAAAAATGGAGTTCAAATAAGCTGTATTATTTTTTGAAAATAATTTATTTGTTAAGGAGACTTTTAAGGAAAACTGATTTTAAATAACTTCGTCAAAAAACTCTAGAAAAATAATAATAATAATAAAAACAAAAAAGAGGCTGATTGGGAGTGATTTTGAGAATTGATTTTTTGATCATTAGGAGAAAAGTGGGGTTTACCTGTAAGAGAAGAAGTCAAATATGACAACTGAAATAGTAAAATAACGATCAAAAAATAAATTTTTTGGAAGAAAAAATCGCTCCCAAACAATTCCTTAGCCAAACCAAGTGGACCCTAAGAGTTGAAAAATAGTTGTTATTCAGAAATTTTACTATCTGGTAAATTTTCAAATTACGAGGCTATATGTCTCTTAGCAAATTTGGTAAAATAAAAAAAGAAAAGAAAAGAAAAAGCAGCTCAATTTTCACATTCCATTGATAAGATGTGCATCTCACACACTGACACACATTACTGTGTGTACATGAAACTTTCACACGTATACACACATATTTGTGTGTGAAACGAAGACAAGGGTCAATCAAGTACCCCCACAGACTTCTCTTTCTCTCTCTCTATATCTATCTCTCTGTGTATATGTATGTATGTTTATGTGTAAAGAAAGAGAAGAAGAAAGAGAGGGTCGGGAGATGGGGTTAATCAATCTTGCAGAAATATCAAGAATTCAAGATTGATTCAAAAATATTCTAGGATTACCCCACAAATCCACCCACATGGAACTCAAGGATTCAAGAAACAATAAACAGCAAATCAATAGCACCACCGCCGCCGCATCCACCTCTCCTAGTGGTGGCGCCACCACTTCAGCCAACTATTACCTCACTCCATCTCATCATCTCCTCCAGCGCCTCCACCCCCAGCAACAATACCAACATGGACAATCACCACCTTTCATTACTAATTCGTCTGCTGCTGGAGCTACTGGTGGCGCGTCTTCATCGTCGACGTCGTCGTCGTCCACAGCCACCACTAGTGCTTCTACCTCCTCCACCATTCAGCCGCCGAACCTTGTGGATGCCTCTTTAGCCATCGCAACCGGATCAGAAACCCTTGTTGATTCCTCCAAGAGATCCCAAAACCAGCTTCAAATTACTGGACAACCACAAGAACAGCAAGTACAGACCCAACAGCCACCAAAAAAGGTGACCAAGGACCGCCACACGAAGGTCGACGGCAGGGGGCGGCGCATAAGAATGCCAGCCGTTTGTGCTGCTAGGGTTTTTCAGCTCACCCGAGAATTAGGTCACAAGTCCGATGGCGAAACAGTTGAGTGGCTTTTACAGCAAGCCGAGCCTGCAATCATAGCTGCCACCGGCACCGGCACAATTCCAGCTAATTTTTCCACCCTCAACATCTCTCTTCGAAGCAGCGGCTCTATTCTGTCGGCTCCACCTACAAAATCAGCTCCGCATTCTTTTCATGGCGCACTAGGGCTAACACACCACCCTTATGAAGAGAATTTTTCACAGATGTTAGGGTTTCGCCACCAACAGCAGCAGCAGACGCCTCACCTTTTACAAGCAGCGCAAATTGCAGAATCTTTAGCTAGCGGAAGCGGCGGGGGACGAGGAGATGGTGGTGGCGCTGGCGGAGGAGGACAAGAGGCCAACGAGGATTACTTACATAAAAGATATAGAGAAGATTTGTTCAAAGAAGAAGGGACTAATAATTCCCAAGGAGAAGGCTCAGATTCACCTTCACACAAGCAATTCAAGGGGAACAATCTACAAATTATACAAAAATCTCAAGAATCTCCGGCCGCCGGACAATCTCCTCCCAGTCTAATCCGGCATACAAACATGGTGCCCGCCACTGCCATGTGGGCGGTGGCGCCAGCACCCAGCAGTGTAACCACCGCCGGTGGTGGCGCTTTCTGGATGCTTCCATTCACCTCCGGTGGCAACGGCCAGGCGTTAACGGCCACGTCCACTTCCGGGACGGCGGCAGGTCCCTCTGACACCCCTCAAATGTGGCCATTTTCGACTGCAGCTTGTGGGAACACACTCCAAACGCCATTACAGTTCATGCCGCGGTTTAATTATCCAGGGAATCTTGAATTTCAAGGAGGGAGAGCGAGTCCATTACAATTGGGATCAATGTTAATGCAGCAACAGCAAACGCCATCTCAGTATCTTGGATTAAATGTATCGGGGGAGACGAATTTGGGGATGCTTGCGGCGCTTAATGCTTACTCCAGAGGCGGTTTGAATATGAATTCTGATCGGCAAAGCCATCATCCATTCGAGCATCAACAGCAGCCTCAAGACACCGAAAGTGGTGAAGATGGCCAAAATGCTTCTCAGTAATGGTATACCATTTATCTATTTATATTAATTATTTCATTACACGTTCGATACAAAATACTGAACGACACTAGAAAATACGTTTCCTTATGTAAAATTATCAGGTGCTATCTAGTCGAACTTAGGAATGACATGTTTGATATACCCTACTCGACGGAAGAACTTTTATCCGATGCAACTTATGCATAACATGTTTGATATGCAGAATCAGATAATATTTTACGGCACTCTGTACATAAAATTAACAATTTGAATTGTCATTGGTTCTTATTCAAGAATTTTTGTTTTGCAGCTAGAAATAGGAACTGGGATGATTAATTAATTTCAAGAAAGAAAGGAGAAGAGGAGAAGAGAGAGGTATCTACTTCTCATTTTAAGTTAATTTGTCTTTGATTTATGAAATTTTATTTTTTTTTGTTTGTTTTTGGTAACATTGTTATGAAGAATTCGAAGTGTATAATTTGTTAGTTTGGTCCAAAGGGACGCTAGAGGAATTATAAGAGAGAGATTAATGTATAGGAGGAGATTGGTTCGTATAAGAACCTAATTACTGCTTTTGTTTGACGAAAATGAAAATGATGAAGAAAAAAATGTTCAAATATTTTGTTCGACCCATCATCTTCTCTAAAAGTTTGAGTAGTTAAGAAAAACATAAAGGTTAAACCCCAACTTTGAGTGCCCCTGCCTCGTTTCTAGAGTTTTGTGAGGGAGGTAAATCGCGGGATGTGTCCCAATAAGGAATAAGAGTAGTTGAGAAAAACATATTTTCATAGACATGGTCTACAATCTTCATTATTGTATGGTACATTCTGCAAAAAGCTTGGTACTTTTGATCTTCCTAATTCTACTCAAGGTTGAAGTTTTATTTGTTGGACCACTTGCTGACTTTTGCCATTTTCTTGCACTTTCAAACAAATTTGCTATAAAAAAAAGTTAAAATTCCCACCCTTTTTTCTTGGTAAGGTAAGGTAGATGGAAAAGGAAATGGGGGGAAAAATGTAACATTTTTCTTGTGGAATTTATGAAATTTTACCATTTCTCATAAAAGTTTAAGTTTGTAAACATGAACCTAGAACTCGACAAAATGCTTTAAATATCTGGAAATAAACATTTTCGGGATAATTCAAATGAAACAATTGGATCTACATAACGATTCGACTCGACTCGACTCAGATATGTATTACTAATTCATGAAGCTAACTGCTTTTCTGCCAACTTTTAATTCCCACCGAACACAGCTCCAACAAATAAAATTTTGACAACATAAATTTGGTTTAGAGGGAAGGTGGTACCTAATCAGCACGTGTTTATTTGTTCAATCTCTTTTCATTTTATTTCAGCATTTTCATAGTATTTTTCATCTTCCAATCTTTTTCCACATTACTTTAATAGGGTTTATTTTGTCCATATATTTTTATTATTTATACTTTATTGAATTCACGTAAATTGTAACAAACCAAATAAAAACACGACGTAATTTGAAGTAACAAAATTTATCGAAGATTTATACAAGAATATTTTATAAATTTGCATTTACGAGTTTATTAGCGAAAACTAGAACACGTTAGTGATGATTTTTAATCGCCAAATCCGTGATTAAGGGCATCAACGACGTTTTTTTCCATTACGAAATCCGTTGCTGATACTCTTATTCATCATGCTCAAGGAATATTTCAACATGTTAGCATCATAATTATGAGTTCTTCAACTAATTAAGTAATTAAATGATTTAATTACACCACTAATTATAAAATGCTTATTTGTCTATCATTTTTTTGGATGATTAAGTTGTGGTAATCATTTTAATTATGCAAATTTTCACTTTTTTCCCTCTTTTCTTATTGTGTTGACATTTAAACACAAAAACAATTATAATTCATGATTAACCTCACTTTTAATTTAATTAAAAATAATCATAGATTCCCACAAATATCTAACCAAGATCTTAATGAATTGGTGTGCGCCATAACTACTCTTCCAAAATTTCCTTTACAAAGACATTTTGCCCCCGTTTTGCCCTCATTATTTTCAAATTTTAATGGTTGAAATAATATTTTTTTTTAAAAATGTGTGATTGAAAATGAATGAAAAGTTTTTTATTTGTGCATAATATTATTTCATAGAAGATTGTGTGGTTGAAAATAAGAGAGAAAAAGAATGAGGGTCTAACGGGGGCTCTGTTTGTATATGTTATTTATATATATATATATTTGAAAATGTTAAAAAGGCCAATAAAATTCAACTTTATTGTATATATTTTGCGTATTAAATTTCATTTTATTAAATAATTCGAATATATTATTTTAAAATATTTAATTAAAGATTAGTTATTGATAGAGTATATAGCTTTAAGAAAAGACAAGGATGAGCTGTGTACATTATTTTATATTAATTTAGACAAAACTAAGCTTTAATCATTATCTTATAAGAACACTATTGAAAAGCATTATGCTTAGGGATGTGAAAACAATAAGGTGAATATTCCCATATGAAATTGTGCCCGATTAATCAATTAAATTAAATCTTTTGCGAGGCATTTTTTAATCACATTAAAGTAAACATATTAAAGTCCCTCTTTGATGCAGAGTGAATAAGATTTTGATTAAATTTTGATAAAAATTGATGACATATGTAATTTAAAAAAATTCCGATCTCATGAAATGAGGTTAAAATATAGAGCTTGTTTGGTAAGGTTTAAAAACCAATTAAAATCAATATTTTGACCGTTATTTCACTATTTCAATTGTCATTTTTGAATATTTCTCTCATGGGTGAGACCCACTTTCTTTATAACAGTCAAAAAATCAATTATCAAAATTCTTACCAAACAAGCACATATTGTTGATTGAAATTTTAGCAACTTTTAATACGTACCAAACATGGACTAAATATATTAAAGAAACTTGCTTTTCTTAATTACAAAATTGGGTTTAAGATGTAATTAATAAGAATTAGATCATGTATGATATGTTGTATCAAACTGTATTAAAAAAGAGTATTAATGGATATGTTATTTAGCGCCCGTTATATTTAACACAATTCTAGGTCGTAGCATTAGTAACATTAAATTATAAATATAATTAATTAAAGGATTTAGAATCCATTTGGTAGGACCTATAATATATTGAACTTGTATTAAACATTACATATGCTAGATAACATTATTCATTGAAAAAATTCAGCGCCGCTATTTGATTTTGCTAAAAGCCAAATTTTTAGTTCATTTTAATAAAATTTAGGTCCTGTTTGATTCTCATTTTTTTCAAAGCGTATTTTTTTCTATCTTCTTTTCAATCACACATTTTTCATTAAAATAATATTACACGTAAATCAAAAAATTTCCATCCACACATTCTCCATCAATTTACTATTCTAAAATTCATTTTTCCTTAAGTGTCAAACACCCTCTTAATAAAATATGTGATTGAAAATTGATAAATATTGTGATTTCCCATAAAATTTGCATTGAAGTTAATTTTTTATTAAGCCATTTATCATATTTTTTTTTTAGCTAAGGAGACATAGTATTATTTATTAAAGCAATTGCAATTTTAAAAAGTATATATTGACGACTTTAAAATTTCCCGCCAGTATAGTTTGAAAAATTTATTGGATACTTCTCCACTCATCCGTGATTTTCGCAGTAGCATGCTATGCTGCACTTTTTTGTGTGTATTGTGCTTTAATTTATTGAATGTGGACATAGAAATTGCATATTTGGAATTGGAATTAAAGATGTCTTAAAATTCAGGTAAGACATGCTTTGCTCGACTGTGAAACACGCTTGTGTCTAGTTGAGAAAATTTTCGATTATGTTGAATTTAGTATTTCGTGTTGTGTTGACTTCCGCGTTATATATTGCATCAAATATCGTTGAAAGAGTTTATTGCTTTGTGGGCCATGTGGCCTTCTTGCAAACTTGAATCCTAGCATCCTTGCTTTGACACCCAAATGTTGCCTCTCGAACTCTATCTTTTCATAATTTGAGTCCGAAATCTTTAGCATATTGATATTAAAAGATCTAACGATCGAATAGTCCATATCTAACTTATTATAGACAGTGGCGAATAGGGAAAGATAGGTATAGGTCAATGAGGTCCTTGGACCCAATAAAATTTGAGAAAAAAAAATAATATCAGCTTTGCTGGTTTGGAATAGGTTTATAAATCAGGGAGACACGTGTCATTCAAGAATTGGACAGTCTTAAAAAAATTGTCAAATGAAAATGAAGGTTCCCTTGCCCACATGATTCACATGCACCTATAAATAAGATCGTAATAACTTTTAATTTATTTTTGCCTATAGTACAAGAAAATGACATCTAATGCAATAATTTTTATTTTTTAAAAAAAAATTACATTAAATAATTTATGCATTGTTTAAAAAACACAATTTGATGTCTTTGGTAGGGTGGCTCACCAGCAAATTCCAAAAGTAGCCTAATCAAATGACGCAAAAACACATGACAAGTGAGAACCTACATAAAGTGAAAGTATCCCAATAAAAGTCAGCTGAAATATGCCACTCACAGTGTTGAAAAGTTGCAACTTGCAGATATTTAGCAGAGAAAATTGACATTAAAGGGAGCTTCATTTACTTGCATTCATAATCAATGAGGTCCGGGAATATAGAGATGATCTCTTTTTCTCTACCTTTTTTTTTATAAGTCAACTTCAAGTCTTCACATGAGACATTTTGATGAAATGACTGGGACGGGTATTAGTCCGAATACAGCAAAATCAATCTACTATATCGAACAAGTATTTTGTGTGAAAATCGAAAAATTATATGGCCGTCATTAGAAATTATTAAAAAATATAACCTTCCACTGCGTAAAGAAAGTGTGCTGGAAATTGATCCAGTGTTGGCACAATTTATATCAGTGTTGTCTCTTCCCAAATAGCAAGATTCTGAGAGGTCTACTTGACAAAAATAATCAAAGAAAAGAAAAAAAATAGTTGACAGAGACGAGGAGAAGAATACTTCATGGTGTTCTTAAGGATTCCTGCCGCCTTAAATGAATAACTTCATGCACAAAATTATCGTCCTCATCCACATGCTTGGGAAGTCGCGGGGTTGTAGGCATGGATCCTGGTATTGAAGTTTTCGTCAAAAAAGTCATCGATTATTTAGAACAAGTACGAACTAGCATCAAGGTGGATTCAACAGTAGTGAACAATATCAAGAAAATAAAAAGAAGTTAAAATTTGATTTAATGTATTGTCCAACAATATCTATTACTGCTTACCAAACATGCCCAGACCAGCACGGACTTATTCTAAGAGGAACTAAATCACTTGGTCAGAAACTCCATTAGAGAGGAGGAAAAACGCGGATTTGTGCTATTTTGACAACTAAAAGAGCCCACATGGAAGGGTATAGCACTTATACCTTCAGCAATGTCTTTTGTTTTGTGAAGAAGAAAGGTTCCTGAAAGAGTGGTCACAAAGCCACACATTTCCGTGACAATCTGGGTTGGGTTCTGCCTGTCCCAGTCCTGTTCATATAAACAAAAGGGCAACTTCAGTCGTTATATCTCTACATTTTCAATACATCTTCAACATTACTTTTCCTTCCAATCATAAAAGGTTAAAAAAATTTATGGATAAAGGTATATACTCATTCATAATGAACTACACACACACACACACACACTTTCTCCCATCAACACACATGTTGATTCATGTAAAAGTTTACATTCCAAAGAAAAAGATGCGTCTTCTTCTTTACGTTAGAATAGCTTGTTTTGCTACATTCCACATCATCATCAGAGAAGTTGAACAATAACTGTCCAACAGCCCTAATCAATTTTTGAAAAATTATTTACTTTAGGGACAAAAATGAAAAACATAACAGAATAATGATTTTAATCAGCAACGTGATTACCTTAAACATGATCACACTTGCCAATATGGTTAAGGATGTGAACATAACAAAGTAAGGGCCTGTCTGGTCACGCTTAAAGGTAAAATTCCAACCGTTGGATGGAATTTAAAAGGACAGATTAATTTCTTTAATCACGTCATCCAGCCCACAGAGGTGGCGTGTGCTGTCTTCACTTCATTTCAACAGCTTCAATTGACCATTTTAACCCTCAAGTTTGACCATTGGGTAGTTGAGGTTTCAAAAGTGAGGGCAAAATTGAGAATTAGGATGTAAATGCTGCTCAATTGTCTGAAATTTGTCAGCCGGTTTTATATAAAAAAACTCCCTTCAGCCAGTCTTCAACGGTAGAAAATTAACTGTCAACGGTCGAAATTCTGCTCTTAAGCTCTCCCAGACGCGCTAAATAGGTGAAACAACAGCCATGTTGAATGTGTCAGGTGCCTGCAATCAAGATCACCAAAAATATAAAGGGTCGTGAAAAAAATAGAAGGAGAGTTTAAAACAGTATAACACATTAATTTGCTGGAAAGTCAACAAACAATTAAAATCAAAAGCAGCCAGTATAAATGTCTCCAGAGAACAGTAAATTTGCTGGAAACTCAACCAACAATTAAATTGAAAAGCAGCCAGTATACACGTCTCAGGAAATCAAATGAGATAATAACAACTGTCAAGTACAGATTAATTCTTGTCCCAGGAGCTAATGTAGCAAATTCATTGACGTATTTAATTGCAGTGGCACTCATTTTGACCCTTGAGAACGAAGACATCCTATGACATTAGATATTAATAAGATCTCCTGTACGATTAAGATACTTGAACCTAACATGGAAAAGAATCATCCAACAATCACCAGAAATTGTATTGTAGTCATATCTTAATATCTTGGCTCCCACATCTAAGCCACCTTTTGCATTATTCCAACACATTATGCCGGCTTTTGTACTTCGAACAAAATAAAAAGACAAAAAAGGTATAAAAGCTACTTACACAACAAGTCAACCGAGGAAAAAAACAGAATTAACAGAGAAAATTCGTTCTTCACCTTGTTTAAATAATTCTTTTGGGTTAGCACACAAACAATGACTACCAAATCAAAGCCCCATGTCTCTGGGTATATTAGCTGGTTCATTCCTGATAATGTCAGCTTCAATGCAATTCCAAGTGCTTTGACACATTACCTGCCGAGGCATTCCCGATAACTTTAAAATCCAAAAAGAAGAAAGTTTTTTCCTCCTTTTCCCTTGGCTGATGCAGCGAGGACTAAACTGAAGACATCTTATTAGAGATAGCAATACCTACCGACAATGAACCAAATAGTGAGCACACACCTACATAAAACTGTGGAAATCCCGAATGATTTGAAGGGGATTTGGAGGAGATTGAGGTCATAACAAGATCCGATATTAAGGCTGATTTTATGGGTTGAATTTTATGTTTCCATATTTTTGTTCTCTTTGTAAATGTTAAATAGGTATCTGAGCATGTAAATCATAGAAAACAATTGAATGAAATAATTGATTTGACTTTCATATTCTCATTGTCTTCATGGCATTAGAGCACGGGTTACTCTGAAAACCCTAGCAATCCATGGCCGACAGCCATGAGTCTACCCAGTCGGCAACTCAGGAAGGAGAAACAAAGATAATCTCCTCCATGGATTCGGCCGACAGGGCTGCTATTCCTGCTGTTATGGTCAAGCTTTCCGACTTAAGAGGAAGTGCGCAGAGGAGCGAAGAATCAAAAGTGCTCGCAACAGAGTCTTGGGTCGTCGGCCATTACTATTCATTCAAGAAATGATCTCCAAAGTTCGGCGTGAAGAGAGTAGAAGAAAAGCGACAATAACGGCTGGGCCTGAATTCAGCCCAAATTATAATAAACGGCCACTTTGTGAAGCTTCTGCCGTTCTAACTCATGGGCCGCCCACAGGATCTGGCCCAAGTCAGAATAAAATGTTATTTTCTGACCATTGCAAAAATTCGAGCCATTCTAAACATACCTCTGGTCAGTCCTCTACTCCTATGCCATCAGGTTCCTTAGCCCACAAAGGTACTTTTTTAACTTCTCTTAGTACCATTTCTCACCTTACTCCTTGGATTATTGACTCTAATACATCTGACCATATGACTGATGCCCATCATTTATTTCCACATATTCACCTTGTTCTGGTAACTTGAAAGTAAAAATTGCAGATGGTACTTTATCCCCAATAGCTGGCAAAGGTAGTATCCGTATCTCTGAATTTCTTACTTTGGAGTCTGTCCTTCATGTTCCTAATCTCTCTTGCAATCTGTTGTCCGTTAGTCAGCTAACCAAACAATCTCATTGCTCAGCTACGTTTTTGTCTTCTCATTATATCTTTCAGGACCTATCATCGGGAAAGATTATTGGCCGTGCTAAGGAAAGCGATGGGCTCTACTACTTTGATGATGCTCACGTGAGTAAACAGTGTTGTCCTCCTATTTGTAATTCTGCATTTAGGGATAATGACCTTTCGTTATGGCACAAACGAATAGGCCATCCTAGTTTTCAATATTTAAACAAGTTGTTTCCTTCACTTTGTTCAAATAAAACTCCCTTGGATTTACAATGTGAAGTTTGCGAACTTGCAAAATATAATCGCACTACTTTTCCTACATCCCCTTATAAACCATCACTACCTTTTACCTTGATTCCCATTGACCTTTGGGGGCCTTCACGGGTTCCCATTAGGACCCACAAAAAATGGTTTATTACCTTTATTGATGACCATTCTCGTCTCTATTGGGTGTATTTACTAAACGATAAATTTGAGGTTAGTTCTATATTCAGGAACTTCTACACTATGATTCACACCCAATTTCACACAAAAATCCAAATCCTTCGTACTAATAATGGCACTGAGTACTTCAATCATTCTTTAGACACCTATCTTAAAGAAAAAGGCATTATTCACCGGAGTTCTTGCATTTACACCCCCCAACAAAATGGGGTTGCTGAACGGAAAAATCGACAAGTTCTGAAAGTAGCTCGTGCCCTACTGTTCACCTCTTAACTTGAAAAATACTTTCTGGGGTGATGCAATCCTAACGACCACATTCCTTATCAATCGACTGCCTAGTCGGGTTCTCTCATTTGCCACCCCTCTCCAAAAATTCCAAGAGACCTTCCCTGATTCTCGGCTCAGTTCGTCTCTCCCACTTCGTGTTTTCAGGTCCACGGTGTTTGTCCACATTCACGCCTCCCAACGGAATAAGTTGGGTCCTAAAGCTCTCAAATGTATCTTCCTTGGCTAATTTCCCACTCAGAAGGGGTACAAATGTTATGACCCTGTCTCACAGAAATTATATGTTAGCCTAGATGTCACGTTCTTTGAGCATACTCCCTACTACTCGCTTCAGGGGGAGTCCAAGAGTGAAGCTCGACACTCAGACACCGGCTTTGATGTTGCGAAATTTGAATCTACCCCATACAATCCACCCTCTCATTCCTTGTCCAACACATAAGGAATCTTGAACTCAGGGAGAGATGTGGGAAAGCAAAAAGACAGGGAGACACTTGTCTACTCAAGGAGACCAAAATCAAAGCCAAATGAGACTCTCGCATTCAAAGTACCAAAAGAGTCAAAACCGGTGATAGCTCCGACTTTTCCTGAGCCAAATCCCAATCCAGACCAGGTAACAAATCTTGATGACTTACCCATTGCTCTTAGAAAACAACCTCGTTCATGTATTCTTCATCCTATCTCAAAATTTGTATCTTACAATACTCTTTCTACCAAGTGTCGTGCTTTTACGTCTAACCTTGATAGAATCCGGATTCCTAAGAATATTCAAGAAGCCTTGGAGATTCCAGAATAGAGAAAAGCAGTGATGGAAAACTAAGGGCATTAGAAAAAAATGGAACTTGAGAGGTGATGACTTTGCCAAAGGGGAAGAAAACAATGGGCTATAAGTGGGTGTTCACGGTGAAGTACAAGGCAGATGGCACAGTAGAACGGTACAAAGCCCGGTTAGTTGCAAAGGGGTTCACTCAGACATACAGTATTGTGATAAGCCCCCAATTAAGGATACCTATTCTAGAAGAATAGGGAAGAGGGGGGAGGGGCAGTAACAAATAACAAATTCTGTTAGGAGTAAAGAGTGAGGAGGCAATTCGGTTAGTAGTAGTCTATAAATAGAAAAAGGGTTGGGAATAGAAGGGCATGCAAAAAAGATATTTCAGTAAGGGTGGTTGTCATATGACCTCTAACGGTCATCTTTAATTCGATTTTGTTTTCTTTGCTGCTGTAATTGGAACGTTGTTCAGTAATACAAGTCTCTTTTCACAGTCGATTTCCTTGTTTTTTTTATTAAAATCTACAGCACTCTAGGGTGGTACCTATCAATTTGGTATCAGAGCAGTACAACCATGACGTTGACAGATCGCGTGGGTGAACTGGAACAAAGGGTGGAGAACCATTATCAGGAACTTCAGGCAGGATTGGGTTCACTACAATCAGAATTCAGATTAATGCATGCGGGGATGACAGAAAGGTTCGAAATACTCATGCGGAAATGGGATACTCAGGAGAAGGAACGAAAGGAGAAGGGAATAACCAGTGAGAAGTCACCAACATTGTCTGCCGAGTCTGGGTTAACACAGTCGCGACCCAGCAGTAACCAATGCGTTGGGGGAAGTGCTGGTAGTGAATGGAGAGGGGAGCCACGCATACGGCGATTGGAGATGCCAGTATTTGAAGGGAACGATCCAGACGGATGGGTGTTCAGGGTGGAAAGATACTTCAGTGTCAATCGACTCTCTGAGGAAGAGAAGCTGGAAGCCGCGGCGGTGTGTTTCGACGGCGAGGCATTAGCCTGGTTCCAGTGGGAAGAGCGGCGGAGACCGGTGAAAGCGTGGGAAGATCTGAAGGCACACTTGCTCAGGCGATTCCGACCCTCACAGGAGGGATCCTTATGTGCCCAGTTCTTGTCTCTCCAGCAAACTACGACGGTAAGGGAGTACCGCCGGCGATTTGAAACTCTAGCCTCGCCATTATTGGGAATCTCAGAGGAGGTGATGGAGTGCAGCTTTCTTAATGGACTCAGGGCGGAAATCAGGGCCGAAGTTCAATTACTGAGACCTTTGGGCCTAGAGCAGATTATGGAGGTGGCCCAAATGGTTGAGGACCGGAACCTAATTACCCACCAAGGCCCCGGTCCAACGAAGCCCAAAAGTATTCCATATCAGAGCCCCAACCCGCCCCAAGGCACACTCAAGCAAAATAAAAACAGGATCCCAGTAAATATACTTCCACAGCGCCCTAATTTTGTCCCCAAAAATCCAGCAGCCTTCAAACGCCTTTCAGATTCAGAGATGCAAATTAAGAGGGAGAAGGGTTTGTGTTTTAAGTGTGATGAACGGTTCACGGTCGGGCACCGGCGCAGGAATAAAGAGTTACAAGTCCTCCTGACTCACGAGTTTGAAGGGAGCGATGAACGAAAGGAAACTGGGCAGAACGGCGAACTCGACGCCGGCGATGTCGAGGCCGATGGGGACTTGGCTTTCGCCGACACTGACGCCATGGGCTCGGGACAGCCAGTGGAGTTGTCAATAAATTCGGTGGTGGGCCTCACAGCGCCGGGCACCATGAAATTGCGGGGAAGGCTTGGACAGCGGGAGGTGGTAGTACTGGTGGACAGTGGGGCATCGCACAATTTTATTTCAGCTGACATGGTTCAACAGCTGGGGTTGCCACTGTCGTGCACGGCAGGATACGGAGTGATCATGGGAACCGGCATGACAGTAAAAGGGGAAGGCATTTGTCGAAGGGTGTCCTTGAAACTACCAGGGCTAGTGATAGAGGAAGATTTCTTACCCCTGGAGTTGGGCAGCTCTGATATTATTCTGGGGATGCAGTGGCTCCAGAAGTTGGGAAGGACGCAGGTGGATTGGAAGAGTCTAACCATGTCTTTCGACGTGGCTGGGACGAAAATAACATTGCAGGGGGACCCCAGCCTCAGCAGGACTCCCGTGTCATTGAAAACGATGTGGAAAGCCTTTAAGGAACAGGGAGAAGGACTTTTGCTGGAATTGGGAACCATTACCATCGACTCAAAATTTACTCAGCCGCAACCAGCAGCAATTATTACCGAAATGTTGGAGGAATTTCAACTAGTCTTCAAGGATGTCACCCAGCTGCCTCCTAAGAGATCTCAAGATCATGCAATCATCTTGAAACCCGGTGCTGCGCCGGTGAATGTGAGGCCTTATCGGTACCCGCATTTCCAGAAGAATGAAATCGAACAGCTGGTGCGGGAAATGTTGGCAGCAGGAATTATACAGCGAAGCACAAGTCCGTTTTCAAGTCTTGTGCTTTTGGTCAGGAAGAAAGATGGAAGTTGGAGATTTTGCGTGGATTACCGAGCATTAAACAAAGCTACTGTCCCCGACAAATTTCCCATCCCGGTTATTGATGAGCTGCTGGATGAGTTGAATGGGGCGACGGTGTTCTCAAAGATTGACCTTAAGTCCGGATACCATCAAATCCGAGTAAAAGCAGAGGACATTCCGAAAACTGCTTTTCGGACCCATGAAGGCCATTACGAATTTCTCGTCATGCCTTTTGGTTTGATGAATGCACCAGCCACTTTTCAATCCTTGATGAATTCCATCTTCAGAGAGCTGCTCAGGAAATGTGTGTTGGTCTTCTTCGATGACATCCTAGTCTATAGCCGAACCGAGGTGGAGCACAGGAGTCACCTACGTATGGTTCTACAGATCCTAGTGGAAAATCAGCTTTATGCGAACAAAAAGAAGTGTTTATTTGGGCAGAAGGAGATAGAGTATCTGGGGCATATTATTTCAGGGAAAGGAGTAGTGGCGGATGAGTCTAAAGTAGCGGCAATGAAAGAATGGCCGCGGCCAAAAAACTTGAAGGAATTAAGAGGCTTCCTAGGGTTGACAGGGTACTACTGACGCTTTGTCGAATCCTATGGTAAGATAGCATGGCCATTAACTCAACAATTGAAGAAGGATAATTTTGGGTGGAATGAGGCGGCAGAAGCAGCATTTACAAAATTAAAGCAGGCAATGGTGAGGGTTCCGGTGTTAGCTCTTCCAGATTTTTCACAGCCTTTCGTGATTGAGACGGATGCATCTGGACAAGGAGTAGGGGCTGTCCTGATGCAAAATCAGAAACCCATTGCTTATTTTAGTCAAGTCCTTCCACCGAGGAGCCAGAATAAATCAATATATGAAAAGGAACTAATGGCAATTGTGTTGGCTGTACAGAAGTGGAGGCATTATTTGCTGGGAAGACAATTTGTAGTCCGGACAGACCAGAAGAGTCTCAAATTCCTTCTTGAACAGCGCTTAGTAAACGTAGAATATCAAAAATGGCTCACGAAGTTTTTGGGGTTTGACATGGCTATAGAATACAAGGCCGGGCTGGAGAACAGGGCAGCAGATGCGCTGTCAAGAAAAGGAGCAGCCACGACCTTGTTGACCCTTAGCATTTCTGGTGGCCTGCAGATAGAGGAAGTGACAAAGGCTGCAGAAGAAGATCTGATGTTGAGCCGCATTATAACTGCTATAAAGGCTGATCCGTCGTCTTATCCAGGTTATACCTACATTCAGGGAGTTTTGTTATACAAAGACAGAATCACTTTACCTCGGGAATCATCACTTATCTTAGTGGTTCTACAAGATGGACATGACAGTAAGATTGGGGGACATGGGGGTTTCCTTAAAACCTTCAAAAGGGTGGCAGCAACTTTCCATTGGATTGGGATGAAAAAGGACATAAGAGCATACGTGGCTACATGTGAAGTTTGCCAACAACATAAGTACTCCACCTTGGCTCCTGCCGGGCTGTTGCAGCCTCTTCCTATACCAGAGAAAATATGGGAAGACGTGTCTATGGACTTCATAGAAGGACTACCAAAGTCGGACGGGTTTGATTCAATCTTGGTAGTAGTTGATCGCTTGAGCAAGTATGCACACTTCATTGGTCTCAAACACCCATACACAGCACCATCTGTGGCAACTGCCTTTGTAAAGGAAGTGGTTCGGCTTCATGGGATTCCTCACTCAATCATTTCCGACCGAGACAAGGTATTCTTGAGCAAGTTTTGGTGTGAGCTGTTTCGACTACAGGGGACTAAACTCAGACATAGCTCAGCCTATCATCCCCAAACGGATGGACAGACGGATGTGGTAAATAGAGGGGTGGAAACATATTTACGTTGCTTTACTTCAGTCCGACCAAAGGAGTGGCATCACTTCTTACCTTGGGCGGAGTATTCTTACAATACCTCATTCCATGTAGGAGCACAACGTACCCCTTTTCACATAGTGTATGGAAGAGACCCTCCACCTCTGCTGCATTTTGAGAAAGGGTCAACTATAGTGTCATCCTTGGACCAGCAGTTAGCCGAAAGGGATAAACTTTTGGAGGAACTCAGAGTACATTTACACCGTGCCCAGCAGCAGATGAAAATCTCGGCTGACAAGAGCAGGAGGGCACTGGAATTTTCGGTTGGAGACAAGGTGTACTTGAAAATGCGCCCCTATCGTCGCAAGACTCTGGCTCACCATGTCAACGAAAAGCTTGCCCCCCGTTATTATGGACCGTTTACAGTTATAAATAAGGTGGGAAAGGTTGCTTATCGTTTGAAATTACCACCTGAGACACAAATTCATCCGGTGTTTCATGTTTCACAACTAAAAAAGGCCATGGGGCAACATCAGCTGGCATCTCCCTTACCTCACAACTTGGGGGCTGACTGGGAATTGCTAGTGGAACCAGAAACTGTGATTGGCGTAAGGCCAGTAAAAGAAGGCTTGGAAGTGTTGATTCAGTGGAAAGGATTATCACCACTGAAAGCAACCTGGGAACCTCACAGTCTCATTGCTCATCAATTTCCTACCTTCCACCTTGAGGACAAGGTGGCTGAATTGGGGGGGGGGGGGGTAATTGATAAGCCCCCAATTAAGCATACCTATTCTAGAAGAATAGGGAAGAGGGGGGAGGGGCAGTAACAAATAACAAATTCTGTTAGGAGTAAAGAGTGAGGAGGCAATTCGGTTAGTAGTAGTCTATAAATAGAAAAAGGGTTGGGAATAGAAGGGCATGCAAAAAAGATATTTCAGTAAGGGTGGTTGTCATATGACCTCTAACGGTCATCTTTAATTCGATTATGTTTTCTTTGCTGCTGTAATTGGAACGTTCTTCAGTAATACAAGTCTCTTTTCACAGTCGATTTCCTTGTTTTTTTTATTAAAATCTACAGCACTCTAGGGTGGTACCTATCATATTGACTACACCGAGACATTTGCACCAATAGCAAAGCTATATACTATACGGGTCCTCTTGTCTTTGGCGGCAAACCTGGATCGGCCACTCCATCAATTTGACATAAAAAATGTTTTTCTAAATGGTGAGCTGGAAGAAGAAGTGTTCATGACGCTACCACCAGGATGTTGCAAGAAGGAAGAGGAAACCAGAGTATCTAAATTAAAGAAATCACTGTATGGACTCAAACAATCACCTAGAGCGTGGTTTGATAGATTTACGAAGGTGATAAAGAATCAAGGATACCAACAAGGACAATCAGATCACACTATGTTCATCAAACAATCCAATGATGGAAGGAGGACCATCCTAATTGTGTATGTCGACGACATCATCCTCACTGGAGATAACACAGGAGAAGTGGAGAGATTGAAGAAGGTCTTAGCCAGAGAGTTTGAGGTAAAAGAACTAGGTCAAATGCGATACTTTCTAGGAATGGAGGTCGCTAGATCAAGGAAGAGAATTAGTGTCTCCCAGAGAAAGTATGCACTCGACCTCTTGACTGAGACTGGTATACTTAGTTATAAGCCAAGCAATACTCCGATCGAGACAGGAAAAAGAACAAAAGACATTGGAAAGCCAGTAGATAAAGAAAGATATCAGAGACTAGTAGGTAGATTGATCTACCTCTCTCACACTACACCTGACATTGCTTTCGCTGCAAGTGCGGTTAGTCAGCACATGCATTCACCAAAGGAGAGTCACCTGGAGGCATTATATAAGATTCTCAGATATTTGAAAAGCTCTCCAGGGCGAGATCTATTCTTTAAGAAAGAAGACAGTAAGAAGGTAGAGATGTATACAGATGCAGATTGGGCAGGATCAGCCGAAGACAGAAGGTCTTCTACCGGCTATTGTACCTACATTTTGGGAAATCTAGTAACATGAAGGAGTAAGAAGCAAAGTGTGGTAGCCAGAAGAAGTGTCAAAGTTGAGTTCAGAGCTGTTGCACAAGGGATGTGTGAAGGGCTATGGTTACAAAAGTTTTTGGAGGAACCACACATCACAGCAGAGCTCCCCATCAAACTCTACTACGACAATAAAGCTGCTATCAGCATTTTTCATAATCCTGTTCAACACATCAGAACTAAACATATAGAAGTTGACAGGCATTTTATCAAGGAAAAGATTGAAAAAGGGACAATCTGCATGACCTATATCCCTACAAGAGAACAATTAGCAGATATATTCACTAAGGGATTACAAAGGTCCAGCTTTGAAGAGTTTATCTGCAAGTTGGACATGATCAACATCTATGATCCAACTTGAGAGGGAGTGTGGAAATCCCGAATGATTTGAAGGGGACTTGGAGGAGATTGAGGTCATAACAAGATCCGATATTTAGGCTGATTTTATGGGTTGAATTTTATGTTTCCATATCATTTTATGTTTCCATATTTTTGTTCTCTTTGTACATGTTAAATAGGTATCCGAGTATGTAAAGAATAGAAAACAATTGAATCAAATAATTTATTCAACTTTCATATTCTCATTGTCTTCAAAAACAATATATGCTTCTGCCCGCATTGTGGAACATAATGAAATATTAGAATGAGGACAACTGTTATCACCAGAGCTGCACAAAAGAGAAAGGCTGCAGAAGAGAGTAGATTAAGTGTGAAAAGAGGATATAAAAAGATGCTGCATTAAAGAAACCAAAAGATAGGGTAGTAGAAATTGTAAGACACCTGGCTCTGTAGCAAGATCCCATACTTCTTTCACAGAATCAATCTCACGATCTTGTGGAGCATGTAGAAGAATTGTGGTGGAACCCATAACACACAACTCACAACCAAGAACTCCAAAAAATGTGTAGCTTCTCCCTCAAAACAATGTGTGCCAGTACAGCATTACAATACATTCATCGCTCAGTGGTCAAAAAAGGAGGCATCATTTTTAGTAAGGTCTCAGATACAACAATACCGCCTTATAATACTGCTGAGCGCAACAAGTGGTGTGACAAGAATGGCTGGTGCAAATGCATATGCTGCAAAATTAGCAATTTCTCCAACAATCACTGTTCCAACAGCGAACACACAACAAAATTTCCAGTTTCAGAATGTTCAGACCAAAAGAAACTTTTATCACTTGGTAGCAAAAGAACAAAGTCCATTATGCAGTAATTTCTATGTTTGATAGCATTCAAAACAAGGCAAGACAAAGTCGATAATGTTGTTCCTTGTACTATTATGGCAACCAAGGACATGAGACTGGATTATCTTTGGATACCTGCTGGAGAGTGAACTTTGGAATGGACATAATATTTTGTACATCTATTTGGATGCCATATGCCTTTCGACATCTTAACTGAGATTGGTTGGCAAATTCAAAGCTTCTGTTTAAGTTTTTTTTTTTTTTTTTTTTTTAATACAAGCCTAGATAGAATGAAGATTCACCTTTGACCTCCAGATAGACTAATGTAGTTGTTATTTAACCCAAACCCTCATGACATCTTTGGTTCATTAAATTGGATATGCTAAACCCTTGTGACGTCTTTGGTACATTGGATTGGATAGTACTACTGAACATAATTAAGGATGAAAACCAAGTGAGACATTTCTCCGTTTTCTTTTCTCATCCAGTGTAAAGTACCTCTCAAAGTAGAGTTGGCTTTATTTCAAAACCAGCAATTATTTGAAGTTTCACTAGAAAAATATGTAATATAAATCAAAATATAGCATTGAAGTGGGTAATATATGAGGCTTTTCCCCCTTCAAATTCTGAATTCTCCAAATCCTATATAGAAAGTGTTCATCTGCGAATGGGGTAGTAGATGCAAGAGTATATTCTGCATTATATTTGAACTTGGGACAGAAAATGTTTACTTTGCTAGATGGTGGTGTTCTTGTGATTAAGTATTCATTTGCACAACTTTAAGTATAAACAAATTATTTTCTAAATTTGGTAATTTCGAAGATCGCCCTTCCATAATTTTCATGTTATTTCTTGTCTATTATTTCTGATTGTAAAGTAATATTGATCTTTATATTAGCACATGGCGTTAGAACTAAAATTGTCATATTTATCATTGCCTTACCAACAAGATTGTTTATTTCAGTTTAAGAAGAATATATCGCTCCTATGTAGTTTAAATGAGTCAAATGTCACAACATGCATGGTGTTAGATATCAGAAACGGACCAAACTAAGAAAATAGAAGGTAGCAACAGTTACAAAACAAGATCAACTTGTTTTATGTGGATCTTGTATAATGCATGCTGCATGCAGCATGGGCATTAGAACTATATGCTACAAAATATTACTAAAAAACTTGGTGGATAAATAGATGTCACAACATATATAGAAAATACATGGTGAAGGAAAAAAAAAAAAGGGTGAAACACGTTCATATACAGAATTATATGCTTCAAAGTATATACAGACAAACCACAGCGGATAAATTGGTGCCTGCAACATGCAGAGAAAATACATGGTAGATAATTTAATCATCAATGCATGTACCTTTGGGTGCTTACAGAATATCATTTATAAAAATGGAAAAAAAAATGAAAAGCTAAGGATACAACAAGAAACTGTTTTGTGGATTAGCTCCATGATAAATAGATTCTTTTGTCTCTTAGCTTAAAGTTGTGTGCAAGTGACAATCATTATAGTCTTTTATTAGAAATACTTTCATTGCCTGAGCCGCATTTACAATATACTCACTTGTTATCATGCCCACCCACCATAATTGCTCATATAGGTATGAATAACCTCCAGCTCCCGTGGAAACAGAACATATGGCAAAATATAACTATTGGCTTCATAATTGATATAAAATTGGTTTATTCCACCAATAGAATAAACTAAAGAAAAGAAAAACAAAGCAAGATAATATCCCAAAACAGAAATCAGAGGAACATGAATATATATCTCAAAAGAGATCCTTAAGCACAATGGGTAAAGTATTTTGCAATTGAAAATTTATATGAATATGAGAAACTAATACAAATTCATCATTTTAAGGTAATCATAACTACTGACAGTGCTAGGGTATGTGCTTTAAAGTCCAACTGTATGTTCAGATGTGAATGATGAAGCAAAATGCTTCACCTAGAAAAAAAGACTTGTAGTAACTTGCCATCAACTGACTTGGCAGTACATGGTTGCTTCCTTTATTGACTTGTCTGGCTATTAGAATTATCATAAGTTTTCAGTTGATTTCACATCCTCCCTCATGATGAGAAGGAAACTGCCATTGTAACAATTATTTAATTAAAAAGCCCCACTTGTTAACTGGCTACTACAAGATAAATAAAAGCTACTTCATATAATGGCCATTTGTGTCCAATCTATCTGCTTAAACAAAGAAGTTTGAACAGCATACTGTGAGTGTGAAACGGATGGCTTGCTTTTTAAGTTATAAACAAAAAGGAAAAAGAAAGCATTAAAAAAACAATCCAAATTCTAAATTCCTTTTTGTAACCAATGGAGGCTTGAAACGCAAGCCACTAATGCTTCATAGAACTATAAGAGTTGTTGATGCCATCTATGATGACAATATGCTCAATCAATTATCTCTGCAGTATCAAGAGTGATACTGCCACAAAGAAGCCATTTTTGGGCTTTTAATCTAATTCAAACATGCTCCTAATCATGGTTAACAACGTCAGATTACAATGATAAGGTGGTCGAAACTTTCCACATCCCACCCCCCAAATCACTACACAAGGAAGACTAATAAAACACTGAAGATTTATACTTGGTAAGGTGATGGCATTAATTTTCTCTGGAGGTATAGAGTATTAACCAGACTTTGCTACGTTAAATTCCTGTCTGATGATTCTCGAACGATCTAAAATGCCAACAAAGATACAAAATTCATATTACACATAGTAGAACAATTATATCATTAATGCAGTATCCCATTCGGAATTTTCAAATATGATAAGCATTAAATAACTGAATATATCCTTGATTCTCAACATTTACAAAAATCAAAATATGCTAGCACGAGTGTATTATAAGTTACCTGCCCTTAAGCCTGAGGCACCAGCTTTCTTTAACCCCTTTTTCTTAACAATAAAGCTGGCGCCAAATGAAGAAGCTGGAAGACAAAGCCAGCATCAAACCTTTTATATTGTCCGACGAAATCCCCATATATACACCTGACTTAGTGGCAGCAGAAGCAGCCGTCGCCGCTGCTGCCACCTCCAATGCCGGCATCTTTACAATGTAAAAAAAAAAAAAAAAAAAAAAAAAAAAAAAAAAAAAAAAAAAAAAAAAAA